TATGATTAAAAATATATAGTCAATTGCAGTATAGTACAACATTTTTGCAACACGACTACGAAATTGGGGAAACCCTGTATAACATGAGTTGTGAGGAGGATGAGGAAACATCGTATTCAAACAAGCATTTTGTTAAAATGATGTATGGATAGTTTCTATTTTAATCTATCGGAATTGTGAATCCGACAAATGAGGCTCGAGACGTAACTCGTAAAATTTTATCATGTATTTTGGTGTTTATTGTATTTTTTGATTATTTATACGAATGTTCTGTTACTAAATGTGCTAAATTTAATTCTTATTCATTAAATTTGTGGAACGATAATAATGTGAAAGATGTTTTATTTGATAAAAGATCGTACAAGAAAATAATACGATTTAGGACAAATGACATTTCGTGAGAAAATTAAAGATTTATATTGTTATATATGGACTAGAAATTTATATTCTAATACCATACCATATACTTAATTATATTTTCATTTGTTACATGTAATTGGATGTTATATAACTATTATTGTACGCTATTTCTAGCAGTTCTCTGTTTTGCATATAGTAACACAAATGCAAATAAAATGCAATGTGCTGTACAGGGATATCCTACATTTTCAATTGTTTACTTATATTATACATTTACTGAACTTATTCAGTTTACTCTCTCTCTCTCTCTCTCTCTCTCTCTGGTCAGTATTGTATAATTTAATAGAAGAAATTTATTAGCATACAACTAAATAAAGGATTAAAAAACTAAAGAAACCATACAGTGTGAATAATATGAGGTCTATGGATAATGCATGGCTTGAGCAGAGGTATTTTACTGGAAAGCCGACTAACGTAACATAAATATAATTGGTGTTACATAGGGGTGGAGGAAGCCTAAGACTAGGACAATGTTACCACCGATGAGTGGAAAACTGTCAACACCTAAACAAACTCCCCCGAAAAGCCTAACTGTCGCTCCGGTAGAAAGCCCGCTAGTACCTGCAGAACCTTTAGCTTCAACCTCTGCCTGTGTATCCACTTCCGCTTCAGCCTCTGTTTCGCCTCCTCCAGTAGTTTCCATTATTCAGCCACCACCATCCGATTGTGATGTTACCACTCCTACGCAACTCACAACAAGTCCGCAGAAGACTCCAGCAAAAAATTCTCCCTCGTCCCCTCAGAGTCTCAAGGAATCCAGCAACAAGGTGAAAAAGGTGCCCTTTCAATTAAATTACATCAACCTATATTCTTTTCTGCTTACTCTGCTACTATCGCTGCCAACAATACTGCAACAGCTTTTTTTCTCTTGTGTCATTTACCTTTGATAGAGTTGTTATTATTACAGCATTCATTTATTATTATCCTTTCATGTTCCATAATATTGTGAGGATGATAATGCGATTGTGAGAAGGCCAACTAGAAGCGATTATAGGTCAAAATTAGTACAATATTAGATATATGCATCGTGCAATGACATAGTTTTATCAAAATATCATAAAAAGGTTACTAGCTTGAGAACTTGGCATAATTATTTCATGTAAAGCAATATTATAGATATCTATTTTAAAGCTATAAATAATAATTTAAAGAATCAATATACAGATGTTGTTGCAAGTAAATATATATATGATGCATTTAGAAGATTGAGTAGCTGGATTTCCTTACTTTATTGTAAATCTTACATAAAATCATTCATCTAGAAAAAACATTTGAGTTTATATTTCTACAGTACATTTTTACTGTTACTACTGTAACTAATATAGTTCATTTATTTTATAAAGATTTCAACACACTG